ACAAATAGAAAAGCCGGAAGTGGCAGTTACGATTAATATCTACACCGATGGTTCTAAAACAAAAGAAGGCTCAGGATATGGACTATACTCCAGATCCTTAAACCTAAACATAAAATGGGCTGTGAGCAATAGTGCCAGTGTAGTTCAAAGAGATCTTATGGGGATTCTCATAGCAGCAAAATAAACCACCAGAAACAGTATCACTGGAAGGATAGCAGACAAGCACTACTCACTCTGAATAGACCACATATTTACTGAAGGTTAGTACTATAAAATGTCACGAAGGTTGGCCGACAATGTGGTCACCTTAAGATGGATCAAAGGTCACGATATATCGAAAGGTAAACGTCTTGCTGATTCACTGGCCAAGAAGGCAACCAACCAAATACTTTCTGGACCTCTCCCTTCGATGGGCCTGACAAAATCGTTAGCAACAGACCTAATTAAAGAACATTCCCTTGTGAAATTCAATTAAAGATGGGATTAAACAAGAAACTGCAGATTTACCATGGAGTTATTAAAGTATCCTGACAACACCACAGCAAACAAACACTTTACTACGACTAGACAGAATCTGCGTCTGGTCATAAGCATTTTGACTGGTAATTGTCAAGTGCAGAATCATATCCATATTATGGGGCTGTTAAAATCCGCACTTTGCACTATTAGAAAATTTGTGTTTCACGATTATCGGCTAACACCGGACGATGTAAGAGAAGCACCTCTTGGTGACGTTGTCAACTACATTGAATCTGTAGGCGCAGGCTCACGAGCTAGGAGGTCCCTATCATTTTAGGAGGATGCACAATGAGCCTGGTGATGCCTAAGTGCCGCAGGTTAAGCCACCCTCCACATGTTATAGATATAGATGGATTAAGTTTGTTAGAAATATTTAACTACTTTGAAACGACTCCAGTTTTCAGAAATGTCCAAGAAGGTAAACAATTATTAAATGATGGTGATATTTTGGGTTGGGCGGTTATGAAAAAAGTTATCGATTATTTTCAATTAATCGATTATTTCCATTAATCAGATATTTTCAAATAATTATAAGATCGATATCATTTAACTAATGTTTAATCTTACATTCGATTGTTAGTAAATATCTAATCCATTTACATATTAATAAGGTAATTAAACGATCATTTTATAATATGGAATTATCGAGCATATTTATTCGAAACATTAGTTTTTAATTCTAACAGATTGTTGCCCACAAGTCGCACAACACATGTTTTAATGGACTGAAAGGAAATCTTTTTCTTTGTATTTTCTTTAAAATCGATTATTCAATTAATGGGTCATTAGATTATTTTAATTAATCGATTAATCGAAAATAATAATTATCCTTGAAAAGTCGAAAATTATCGATAAATAAAAAATTGTCGATTAATCGATTATCGATTTTTCTAAAAAAATAATCGATGATTTTATCCTCTCCTGGATATAACTAGAGGTGGGCAAAATAATCGATTAGTCAATTAATTTTTATTTAAAATATGATTAAACGATTATTTTTGATTAATCGATTATTTTCGATTAATCGATTATTTTAGTAATTATTTTCAATTAATTGATTGTTTTTTATTAATCGACTATTTTCGATTAATAGATAATTCCGAATAATCGATTAATCAAATATTTTAGACTAATCGATTAATCAAATATCTTCAATTAGTTTTTCCAAAATACAAAATTAAAACATTTTTCTTCAAACAATAATGGTTTTAGCATTATTACTAAACTAAAATAAACATAGTTTATATCACATTAATCTTGGAATTCCTACACTATTTTGCATGTCACTGTTGATATATAAAATTAAAAATCTGATGTGTCCAACACATGACTTTCCTATCTAATTATTATAGACTTTTTCCGGTTATTTTGTACAACCTATTGCAGCACCTCTATAAATGTTTAGAGGATAAACTAAATATATACATTTTCCACTCGAAACATTTTTCTATAGATATTCATTGAAAACGAAAATACTGAAAAATTTAAATTTAGCACTTTTCCTACAATTTTTCCATTACGGTCCATTGTAGAAAAATCCTGTATAAACAAAAATTATAGAGATCGATATGGCAAACAACTTTTAGTTCAACAACTTTCATAAAAATCAGAATTTTGCACATTTTGTCAAATTTCTCGAATACGGACCATTTCAGGAAATTTTGACGTAAAGCAAAAAATTATAGATAATAATATTAGAAGTAACTTTTATTTGAACAATTTTTTTTCTCCAAACATAAATAACAGATATATTCTATAAAATATAAAAACGGTCCCCCATAAAGTACCCTCGCAGATGTTCCGACTTTGTCCAAAATCTAATCATTTCACGTCAGGCCGAAATAAAACTTAAGTTTAAAATTTAATGTTTTTTTCTTTATCAGTTTTTGAGTTTTCTTCAAATATCTCGACAACTTTTATTAGAAAAATTTTTATAAAAAAATATTTTTTTACATTTTGTCAAATTTCTCGAATACAGACCATTTTAGGAACATTTTGTATGGAACAAAAATTATAGATAATAATATAAGTAACTTTTATTTAAAGAATTTTCTTCCCCAAACGTAAATAACAGATATTCCATAAAATATAAAAATGACCACCTATAAAATACCCTCCCAAATATTCCGACTCTGCCCAAAATCTAATCAGTTCATTGGACGCTGGAACAAAGCTTAAGTTTAAAATTTGGTGTTTTTCTGTGTATCGGTTCATGAGTTATGGTGGACACAGACACACACACACACACACACATCATCGCGAAAATAGTCAAAACGGATTCATAGTCTAAGATCCAAAGTAAAATCGACCTTCACCCATCTGTTTGATGGCTGAAAGTTTCTTTTTATTAAAAAAAAATATGTTTATAAATATACCGCAAAAGGGTTGCCTAAGAAAATACGGTCCAGACTATTTATTTCCTCAAAATAAAAAAACGACACCCTGTAAAGTATTCCCCAGATGCTTCGCCTATGCCCAAACTTTAATCAGCTTACCGCAGGATAGATTAAAGCTTAAGTTTAAAATTTGATGTTTTTCTCTTTATCTGTTTTTGAGTTGTCTTCAAAATTCGAAATTTCCACATTTCCTCAAATATCTCGAATTAGGTTCATTTTAGGAAAATCATGTATAGCAACAAAATAATAGAGAATGACATCATAAGCAACTTTTATCATGATTCCTATACTTTCCTTATCTATACACAGATAGGAAAGCAAAAAATGGCCGTGACCGTATTTTCTTAGGCAACCCATTTGCGGTATATTTAAAAACATATTTTATCTAATAAAAAAAAACTTTTATCCATTAAACAGATGGGTGAAGGTTGACCTTATTTACGAATCCTGGACTATCAGGGACCTAAAAGTAAAAATCCGTCGAAAACTCGAGGTCGAAAAAAATCATGATTCCTATACTTTTCTTATATCTGTATACAGATAGGAAAGTAATAACAAATAGGTAGTACCTATTCTCTTAATTACACTATTTTTTTTTCTTTGTAAACACATAATAGTCCTCGTAATAGTCTAATAGGTGTGTGTGTGTGTGTGTGCTTTCTTACTATCTCAGAACTAGCATCCTAAGTTGAAAAACAACTGAGCAACTTATTTAATTTGAATATCATCCAAAGTGGCCGACTAATAGCTATAGGGAAAGTAAAAGTTGGAAAGGCTTTTGGTAGGTAGAGAGGGGGTAAACGTCAAACCACTTCGGACGGCTTCGAGAATTTCACAGTAATGTTTACCTGCCAGTGTCGTTTCATAGAATAAGTAATTTTAAATTGTTATCGGCAGAACCGGACAATCGCATGTATTTATGGACTATAAATAATTATTAAACATGTATTATAATATTCAAATCATAATTTTACAAAATTTCAACAGCTATTCACAATTTATTAAACTATTTACTCGAAATTGTTATTAACATCTATAATTTTGTACGCCAATGTATCGCGTCCACTTCGGTGATATCCGCAGCAAACCTGTCAATTTATGTGTATAAAGTGGGAGAACTGGCAAAAGCCTTTCCAACTTTTACTTCTGTTCTAACCCACTACCTAGTTCTCTGATAGGTAGTTCTTACGTATTTTTGAAGAACCCGAACAAACCTTATATCATCCTCTTTTATTCCTCCATTAGGTACCTACCTACAATTTACATTTTGCATGCAGAACATATTTCTCACAGGATTACAGATCTAATGAGAAAGTGTATTGTTACTCGACATCGCATAAGCCTGTTCAAATTAGATCTGTCATTGTATAGGTACCTACCTAACCCTCTCCTAAATTTAAATTATTTGCCTACATCTCTTTGTCCGCAATTGCGGCGGTTGCAGAATTTCAGCGAATTATCGATCCATTTTCTAAATCAAGATGGATTTTCACTTTGTTTTAAAGAATGAAAAGTTAGGTACCTACCTACGTATAGGTAGGTAGGTAGGTAGGTATTAATAAATCTAAACAGAAACGAACATTTATTACTGCCCTCGTATATTGTACCTATAAAAAATGAGATAAAATATTATCCTATTTTATAATAGATATTCCTATTACCTATAACTATTTTTAGTTTACTTTCTAAAAATGTTTGGGTTTATCGTTTATCAGAACATGCGTTTATCAACCTAGACACCATGGCCATGAATTTTTAACACAACGCACTACCTACCTACCTCTACCAAAAAAGCAAATTAGGTACCTACCTACCTAATTAAAATTTAAAACTAATAACAAGTTTCAATAACAACAATCTGAATAATTATATCGAAACCAGCTGCCTGATAAAAGCCGCAACCCGCAACTCCACTACTGATATTTATAGGCAAGCCAAATCCTTGAAATAATTATTCTGAAGGTGATTTCAAAGTTAAAGAGACACTCAATAAAACATTCACGCAATGACGTTGGCAACAACATGGCGGCAACCAGCTGGAGGGAGGTCCCGCCTCCCGCTATCAATTTTCATTTTTGCCTCGAGCTTCAACCTTCGAACATTGAATGAAATGAAACAAACGGAATTACGTCGCTGGCTGAGCTAACGGTTAATCGATGATGCACGAACGGTTCCGACTGTTCCCCCTCATAATATCGTCGGCTTTTATTTTTGACACAGTTTCAAGTTGAACGTGGTGTTTGGGTTACGGACAGTTTTCGTAGAACTGAGTTGAATCATTGCATAAATTAAGAATTTAAAATGATAGTTACTAGTGTTTGTAGACTGTGTATGTCGGAAAAAGAACTCCGTTGGGTTTTTGACGAAGGAATTACTGGTGAAAGTGATATGAAAACAATAATTTTCATTACTACGGGCGTAGAGGTATGTTGTTTTGCAACCGCTTGTTATCCGCCATTTTAAGTAATAAATTGAAGGTCGTGACATACTTAAGTTTGTTTTAAAATAGGTACATGATGACTCACGAGATAATTTATTTATTAATTATGATATTTAAAAATTGTTAATGACATTTAATTAGTAATCAACATGATTTGAGTTTGTCAAAATTGCGTAATACGTGTTAATGTCAAAGAGCATGCGTACTAGATGGATACAATAATGCGCGCGCACAATGGTGATGATTTTAATAAAATATTCATAGTTTTGTCGATTTCATAGTAATAAAATGCCGATTTAACTTATTCATCACTTACTTGTGGCTCTTGAAAATAAGATTGCGCGTTTTATGGTATACGCAAAATGTTTTTTTGCTGTCATACCTAGTATATATTATTATTATAATATAATTACTCATTTTATTTATATTTAGGAAAATAACTTATTTAAAACAATTCTGTTAATTCTAATTTGCGCAAAATACATTATTGTGCACAATTCTTGCGCAATTATTTCTTCGAGATAATATTGGTTTAAAGAAATTAGTTAAATATTTTGTGCAAATTGTTTTAATCTGACACTTTAAACTTTTTGCGCAATTTTTACGATTGTACAGCATGTTTTGGTACGTTTTTTGTTTCATTTCAATTTAAGAGATTGGTTTTTAATACTGATTTAAATAGTACTGCGCAACTTATTTATTTTTATAACAAAGTAAAAAGAAACTTGAATTGTAAAACTAGTTGCGCAAATATTTAACAAAATAAGTACTAATTAAATTGTTTTATTTGAAAATGATTTAGGAAATTTGATGAAATATTTTGCTTAATATAGTGTCAATTTTTTATTTTTTCATTGTCATTTTTAAGTTATTTTATTTATCTATCTTTTAAATTGCGTGTTTAATTATACGTTTGTAAATTTATTTTTATTTTTTTAGTTCATCATATTTGCGCAGTGCGCAAAATAAAGGGTATTTTATATTTAATGACGCTATACAATATTAAAAAAGTTTTTTACCACATCAATTTATTTTTATAATTTTGCGCAATGCGCGAATATTTGTTATTTGTTTAAATTTAATTTTAAAGTAACTTCCTTTGAAATGTTATATTAACCAAATTGCGCAATGCCAAATTAGAAATCGGTTAATCTCAAATTTAACATTTCAATACCATATGAATTAAATTTTATAATTTTGCTCAAATGCGCAAATTATGAATTTAATTGTATAATTTTGCGCAATGCGCAAATGTATATAATTTTATTTGTTTTAATTTAATTTTAGCGGATACACTTTTCTTGTCTAATTTATAAGTTATATTTATCAAATAAATTGCGCGATGCCGAATGTTAATTTTATATTGGTTGGTCTCTCAATGTATCATTACTATATTAAAATAAGTTTAATTTGACCATTTGCGCATTGTGCAATGTTTTGCGCAGTGCGCAAATTTAGTGAAAATGTCAAGTAGCTATTGAAATATTTGTTAAAAATGATCAATATTTTGAAGAATTCGTAAGATTTTGCGAAACGCACAAGTTGGGCAAATATTTGTTTAAATTTAATTTTAAAGTAACTTCCTTTGAGTTGTTATATTAACCAAATTGCGCAATGTCAAATTAGAAATCTGTTAATCTCAAATTTAACATTTCAATACCATATGAATTAAATTTTATAATTTTGCGCAATTGCGCAAATTATGAATGTAATTTTATAATTTTGTGCAATGCGCAAATATATACAATTTTATTTGTTTTAATTTAATTTTAACGGATACACTTTGTTTGTCTAATTTATAAGTTATAATTATCAAATAAATTGCGCGATGCGGAATGTTAATTTTATATTAGTTGGTCTCTCAGTGAATCATTACTATATTAAAATAAGTTACATTTAACAATTTGCGCATTGCGCAATATTTTGCGCAGTGCGCAAATTTAGTGAAAATGTCAAGTAGCTATTGAAATATTTGTTAAAAATGGTCAATCTTTTGAAGAATTCGCAAGATTTTGCGAAACGCACAAGTTGGGCTGATTTAAGTGGTTAGTTGCGCAAATTACTACTTTTTTCAATTACCAAAGTAAATAGTACTTTTATTTCAAAATATATGAAATTTTATATGATCGATGCTTTGTAGTCCAAGAGTGGAGCTGTTTATTTCTATTTCTTATATTCTATTAGATGGGTGTAAACAAATTTCATTTCTTTGTTTCAGATTTTACAAAATGATATCATCTCACAAAAAATATGCAGTAACTGTTTTAAATTGACCGGAAAAATGTTCGAGTTCCGAGAAAGAGCAGTTAAGACTGACAAATATTTGAAGGTAATTGTTGTTTTTCTAGTAAAATAGTCCCATAGCAGATAATATACGAGAAATATAGATCTGTAAATGTCGTACTTTATGTTACCCTGCAACGTCTTAATAAAATATCTTTGTTTGCAGGATCAGTGCAAAAACGCTAATCAAAATCACGAAATTACGGACACTGAACACCCCAGTGTAATACCAATAAAGTCGAAAAATACCACTCAAATCGTTTCTCCTATTAATAATGAGAACGAGGTTCCTAACAAAGCTGCAACACATGAAATTAATCCATCATTGATCACTCCAGAAAAATCAAAACCCGTAGAAACTCTGTTAACAGATACAACTCCCGAATTTTCGAAAAAGAAAGCGAAAAAGAGGGTTCACTGGAGTATTGAAGAAATATTCGCAAAACACAGCGAAATAAAACTACCTTCATCTTGCTTAAGACTGGACGTTAGCCCGTCTGTCAACTTGGAAATGGACTTCGTAGAAGAATATTTTCGACAGAACAAGCAAGATATTAAGAAATACGTTCAACATGCATTAAGGTCTAATCGAGCATCTAAAAAAACATTGCAAGTAAAACAGAAAAAGCCGATTAAAGCTAACAACAGTAGTGTAGAGGATAATAAACGCATCGTTGAGGAAAACACACCTGGTGTGATAAAACATCCAGATCACTTTAAAGTTAGGTTATCTAATATCCCACAATCTCAAAAGTGTACAGGCAGTGAAGATAACGACGACGACTATGGAATAGTCAAATCTTTTAAACAAAGTAAAAGAAGAAGGATAAGTGACTCTTCTACCGAAGCGGAATCAATGAAACAACCCACGATAATGGAACTACCCACGTTAATGGAAAATGCAATGGAACAACCCACGTTAATGGAAAATGCAATGGAACAACCCACGTTAATGGAAACTTTACAGCTTAAACCAAAAGAAAACGCATTTGTACATAGATGCACCATATGTAATTCTTTGCAACGTAGCGCTAAAGCACTCAGAGAGCACTACCAAACGCACTTAAAGTGCACTTATTGCAAGAAAAGATTCAAACTTTTGAATCGAAAAGAGGTACACGATACGAACTGTGCAATTAAGTTTTGTTTAACTAGACCGGTATATGTGAAATTGGAAAAAATTGATGCTACGAAATATCTATCCGAAGATATTGAGCCTGTTCCAGTTCAATCATTTGAAAAGACTGATGCAATCGCCATTCAAGTAAATAATCCAAAAAATGCCAAAAAGTTTACTGACGAAATTATCGAATTATCTGATGATGATACTGATCCAAATCCGCCGACACCTTCACCTCTAGTTGCGACGTGTACTTCAAAAAGTACCGATTTACCAGCTACATTAAATACCATACCATTAAATATCGAACTACCGAAATTGATACCTATAACTCCGCCATCTAATACTATTATTGAACAATCGCAGTGCACCGGTACATCCATAGTTAAACCTTTCGTTGACATAAAAGATAACAGCGTGTTAAATACAATCGATACATCACTCCCAGATAATAAAGTACTTAAACAGTTGTTGTCTTCGTCTAAACTTAATAATTTAAAATTGCTTATTGAAGATGAGACACAAACAAACATACCGTCCAACGACGAAGTTCGATATTCAAATCAAGTTGCCGAATTTAAAAATCTCTTTCCGCAATTGTATGCGTATAAAATTCCAATCAGTGTTAAAAAAGGAGAATTTAAAGTTTCTTACCAAAAAACCCAAAAATCCGCACCAAATAACAAAAAATCTCTAGCTCATTGGAGTCATACGAAGCCAGTAGATATTAAAAGCACTAACAATGCAATTTTTAATATCGAAAACTTTAATAAGCATATATCATTAGATATTCCATTGTTCAACTTGTCGAATCAAAAATCTCAGCCCACGATTTTAAATCACACTGTAATATCTCAAAATTTGCCTCAAATTGTTCCAACTACTGCCGCTCCAAGATTAAAAACATATCAACCGGCTCAGAACAGTAACTTTCCAGTTATTCATCAGCCAGCACCAACTCAAATTAGGCAGATTCAAAGTGTGCCCCGAGTTCAAACTCAATCTAAAAATTTTCTGGTGTATAGTTTACCTCAACAAGCTCAAACTCAACTTAGTAATGTTCAGGCATCCAATATGCTACAAGTTCAAACCCAAACTAGCAATATTCAGGCTCATAGTTTACCCCAACAAGTTCAAACTCAAACTAGCAATATTCAGGTTCGTAGTTTACCTCAAAGAATTCAAACCCAAACTAGTAATATTCAGACTCATAATTTACCTCAACAGATTCAAACCACTAGCAATACACCTATCAGTTTGACAAGGCAAATTCAAAGTAACATTCAATCTCTAACTGCGCCACAAGAGATGCCAACCGTCAGTGTTCAGAATCATGTTTTGCAGCAAACTTTACAATATCAAATACAAAATGTGCCCCATCAGACATCAAGTAATACCATTCCAATAAGTAGTTCTATGTTTACGATAAATCCAAATTTGCAAAACATTCAACAGACGCCAGTGTACAATGCTGATGTTCAAAATTTAAATAATTATTTTCTTAATTCCAATAATAATACAGTTATTGCTCCAGTTACTAATAGTACTTCGTCTCTAAACAGTACTATAACTAATAATATTCAAGGTCCGATTAACACAAATGAAAACACTTTTTCTAGAGGCGATATCCAAAGCAACCCACAAAATTATGATCTCAATTCTAAGATTTTAAACATTCCTGCATCAGTAACACCTGTTTCTTTAACTAACACTGCGGCAAGTACTTCATCACATTTGTTAGTAAGAAATAATTCAACTTCAACCATAACTAATTTCATGGAAAATACTTCATATCAGAGTAGTACAAGCAAAACTGCACCTCCACCTAACGTTAATCCTTTTAGTAAGACTGCTGTTGGTACCATTTCTGGCATCAATACATTTGCTAGTACTAGTACGGAATCCCAAAGAAATAGTACAACAAGTAATGTTGAAAGTAATAAAGAAGTGCATAAACCAATGATTAGAGTAAGAAATATTTTTGAGTTAACGTAAACAAATTTGTATTAAAGTTGAGTTTATATTTTTTTATAAATTAAGAAAGTTAAACTATGAAAATAAATGTTTTTGATATTTTTGTTTTTTATTTTGTGTTTTGAATTTTAAAAATAAAACTATTTTTTTTAAGTGTCACTGTAGATGCCAGTTGTAGGACGTTTCAACTTCGCTCAAATTCCATATACAAACAGAAGACGAAGTTTTTAAAGTAGGTCTTGGAAAAATTCACGTATGCCTGAGTCTATAATTCTTCTGTTTAAGTGTCTGTGTAATTGGCATTATTATTAGTAAAATATAAAGATTTACACAAAAATTCTAAAAAAGTATTAAATATTTCAACTAAATATTTAAATAGAAAAGCACAAGTATTGAAATAAACCAAACAATTAGGTTATTACTCCAGTCAATGACTTACATTACACTAAAGAATTATCCATGGTAATACGTTAATAATAATTAAGCTGTAAAGTTTGGGTTTAAATAAGACTGTCGATAGTTGACAGGAGAGACTTGAGTAATGGCTGTTGCCCGTAACTCTAGGCGAAAATTCATGCTTTAGAAGGGACTGTTCCTTCGGGACCGTATGTCCTGAAATACCTATTGTGTAAAGTTATGTGCAGCGATTTGTGTGCCAGAGGTAAATTATCTTTAAATATTTTAATAATGTTGAGACATTAAAACGCAAAATCAGTACCACACGGATTTAATAATTTACCTGAAATTTATTTGTTTGGTCTAAATTATTAAATCTGTGGTACTGATTTTGCGTTTTGTCTCATTGAAGATGACCACATTTGAGAGGTTGGATTTTCTTCGTTTACTATTATAGTTGTTAATAGGGCTGGTCCACAACCGTCTTTATCTTCCTAGCCATGAAGACAAACAAAAAGGCAACATTGTGAGTATGGTCCAGCCCTACTCACGATTATTTAAAATAATCTGTTATTTTCGATTAATAGAAAATAATCCATTAAGGCCAAGTTCAATTTTGTTTGACATATCATCACGATTTTTTTTAGGTTAGAAAATTGCATTATCGATTTTTTTCATTCGAAGTAATAAAAGACGTCACTTTAAATTTCTATCTCTTTATGTCAACAAATTTCTAACACGATGAATTTATAAAACGTATGTCACTAATGAATATGTGGCTGCAACTGACGGCAACACTGTCAGCTACTCCATGGCTACTAGAGTACATACAGGTCCGGTATAAGCCATGGAAAATAATAATTTAATGTTTTGATCGAGTTAAATAAAATATCAAAATTAAATGTTTATTTTTAAGTAAACGACATTTTTAAATGTATACGTCTTCAATCAAAAATAATATAGGCAATACTCAAGTGTATTATACGAGTGTACTGGACAAGAGATAATTTTACCCTTTACTCCAGTTTTTTGTAATGAAACCAGCGGTAAAATAGATATTTGTGTACCAAGGCTGTGTTTTGGCCGAATTAGACATATGCGTTCGAATCTAAGCTACTTCTGGTTAAGTATAAGAGTAGTAGGCAAGAAACGGGTGTTCAATCAAACTTGACATCGAGACTAGATGTCACATAAGCAGGTGTACTGAAGATGAACTTTGCAGGACCAAGCATCAGATAGGTATAACACTTGATATTCTGAAAACTATGTGAATACTACACTCTGAATAAGAACGAATGGAAGTGTCAGAAGGAGGCTAAAGGCAAAAAATAGACGGAACAGAGCCTAATAGATAGATAAGTCATATTTTAGCCAGAAGAGAGTCGATGAGTGTTATAAATATAGTTATTTATGAATGTATTTTTAATGTATAATTTCAGTTTATTTTCATTTTTGGTATAAAACTATGGCTGACATAATAAAACTCTTAAAAGTATATATATTTTCAATCTTTATTACTATACATTATTTAGTATTCATTTATTCTCTCTGACCTAGGGAAAAGGTCAGAAAACCCTGGTCATAATTGTTTACAATGTTGCGTGTTCCTAATGATACAAAACATTACAGAGGAATGATACTTAGCCGATGAAATCTCATCGAGTTCACGCATGACATACTAGGTCTTTTCCTTTGCATCGACAGTGTAGCACTGAGCTACGTCACTTCTGAAAATGTTGTTCCATCCATACAATTTGTATAAATTTGCAGATTTAAATTTATTTTTGCGTACTGTTTTCTATCAACTGATACCCCAAATTTATACAAGCCACGTCTTCGCACCACAATGTGACATAGCATCAAATCTGCTTAATCTCGTACCAAGGATATTCTTGGTGTAGCTGATCATCATGTTTCGAGTCACTGAACCTAAAAAATAACAAATATCAATAAATAGAATTCGGAATTTATTCCAAAAATATTTTTCTTTGGGAATTATATAGGATTTCTCGTTAATATACTGACAAACCTTTAAAGGTGGTAAAATAAAAATTTTTTTGCTTAATAAAATAAAAATATGAAATAAATGTTAAACATAATATTTCGACAGAAAATAATTTTAGCAACAGCAAGAAAAAAAAAGAAAGAATCCTAAATACATTAGCTACAAATTAGTACAACTAATGGTCGAAATAAATATCCCAATCAGAACAAAATTAATTAAAATTTGAGCACATTAGCCTTATAGGTGAATTTCTTCCCAAGTTCGTTCAAATACTTGCTGTATAAAATGTTTCATGTTATCTAATGGCTGTTTGGGGAACATTAAAATTTATTTAATTTATCAAAAATAGTACATCAATAGTGTTATGTAATATTTTATAAAAAAATGTAACACTGGAAACTACCCTTCTATTTTCGAAAGAAGCAGAGATTCTTCAATACCTCGAATGGGATACAGCTCATCTATTTTAAAAGAAAGGTACTTGAGAGATCGCCGCTGAACATTTTCCAATGATCTTTTATGAATATTGTAAATAAGGTTCCAGATAAGAGATGCATATTCTAGCCTGGAACGAACTAAAGAAAAGTAAAGGATCTCCAAGCTTTAAGAGTTTGTAAAAGAACGAGTATTACGAATTAAGAACCCTAAGCTCTTCAACGCAGAAGCAACTGTATTTTCAATATAATCCGAAAAAGTAACTTTTTGGTTGAATAATATACCTTAATCTTCAATTTGTGCACAAGTCCGATAAATGTAGGCTGTTAAATAAATAATCAAACTCCACCTTGTTAATCAATCAATATATGTTTATTGTCAAAGCTACAAGAACTTATAGATATATAATACTTCTAGTATAGGAACATACTTCACATTTAGACACATTCATTCAGCTTGTTTTCATTACACCAATTTTCAACGATTCCCAAGTTGGGTCTGTAAAAAGTAACAGTCTTGAATTGATGAGATTGAGGTAAATATTTTTAAGTCAGCAGCGAACAGCAGGTTAAATTTATAAATATACTAAATAATAGTGGTCCCAGATTGGAGCTCTGTGGAACTCCAGATGTTGCTGTGCGGGGTGAAGATGAAAATCCGTTGTAAAAGACATAATAAAAACGATGATTTAGGTAAGATGAAAATAATCTCAACAGCGACTGATCAAACCCTAAGCATTCCAACTTCCTTACAAGAATATTATGATTTTTAATTATTACAAAATACATTATGTATGTACAAAAAATATTCTAAACATATTTTAACTAACAAGAGTTTTAATTTTAACTAGTTATATTCAAAAACAAATGTCATTTTTAAAACTATGTTTAACAATAACCGATGAGTATACAACAAGGTTCACAGTTTAAACTAAGTCTACATTTTAACTGCCTATTGTACAATCCGCCATATATGTACAATTCAAAATTAATTGTATTTCTTTAAAATGCACTTGATTCTGTTGATCAAAATTATTCGATAAAAAAATTAAATAGTATTGGTATAAAGGTGGTTTTTATATCTATGCTATAAAGCATGCATTGGGGTAGCATGTAGATTATCTAAGTATCAGGTCAGAGAGATTAAAATTAAATAACATATGTAGTGGGATTCTCATCTTTTGAGTATGTCTCCTATCGAGACTCCTATCTTTGTTCGACAGACAGCGATTTTGATGTAATATCTCTCTCTATTCTGTATGTAATGTGTCGAGTTGGCACAAAAGAATCACTGTTCTGATCAGAAGAAATTAACCACATCAAAGGAAGAACATTAGGTCCCCTGTTATTTTTAATTTATATTAATGATTGTTAATGTTGCAATAATTAATATGACATTTACCTGTTTGCCTATGATGTCCTTATCTATGTTTCTTGTAAGTTGTAAGGATTCAGATAACTAAGAGTTAATTGTCAATGAAACTCTGCAAAATGTTTATAAATGATGTTGCAATCATTTGTTAAAAATCAACACAAATACCTAAAACAAAATATAAGCTGATAAGTAATAACTAGATGCAGTTTGTGGACAAACAATATAGGGAATTGGAAGAAAATCTATACAGTTAGTAGAAAAATTCAAATATTTAAGGGTAATTATTCGGAAACAGATGAAATTCACAGACCATATGCAAATACTGTTATCAAAACAATTGCAGTTAAATTACATTTCCTATTTAGAATGTTATTAAAATAATTGTTATATTATTACATTATTTTTTACTAAATTTGAATATTGTGATATTAGCAAACTAGCCAAATAAATAAAATAAAAATAAAATAAAAACCGAAACCATACCTGGATCTACAATAATATATATATAAATAATATAAGTACATTGCATCTTTTAAATTATTAAAGTCCTTTAAATTGAAATGACACGTCAAACCATAAACGTCAAACTTTCAAAACAAACATGCTTGTGTTGTGTTCCAAACAGAAAATAGCATTTATAGAATAATTTATTTACTTGCAACCTTTCCCCGCACACCACCTCGCCCCTCACCCACATAAACATGGTCAAATTGGGCTAAGCCATTTTACATTCGTCTGCATAGGGAGCGATGTTGCGATTTTTCAATTTTTAGTGTTTATTCCG